TTGCAGTGTTTTTTTTTTCAATTTCAGATTTAATTGAAGTGTTTAGGATTATCTACATATAGTCATATATATATTCAATTTTGAAAATTTAAACTAAACCACTATACTGCAATCAAACCCACAGATTATTGGGTCCAAAAGAAGAAGAAGAAGAAGTGAACAACACGAAATTGGCTTTGGGTAAGCTTCCACTCTCTTCTGTGTATAAGCTCTTTGAGAAGTGATTTTGGTTTGTGCTTTCGAAAAAGATGATGGCAATTTCATATTTGGACAGAGAAAACAATAGGCATGTATAATGAAGTGGAATTTTTTGTGGTATTATTAACATGCATGTTATAAAAAATTCTTCATTTAATTTTTTTTGGGGTTTGTTTTGTGCTGTTTCATTCGTGAATTGTGTGTTTTGTTGTATCTGATTCTGGTTTTTGTTATACCCATTCCTTCAATTTTTCTGCTTTCCGTTGGATTTTCAGCCATGAGTATACATCATTGAAGAATGTTAATGAATCCAAACATGGGTTTTGGGGTGTTCTTGCTAGAAAAGCCAAAGACATTCTAGACGATGATGATAATGGAGTTCATGATTCTCATTCACCTTGGACAACAAGGACGGATATGTTGTCTATGCCAACAAGGGAGTAAGGTGAGATATAGTTTTCGTCATGTCTTTATAGTAGCTTGGCATTTTCCAAGGACTTTTAATTGCAGCTGCATTGTTGAATATATTAAGAATGATGCGGTAAACCGGAGAGGGAGTCATCAGCTTATGGATGTGTTAACACATCCAATGTGTTGTAATCTTTTCGCTACTTAAACATGTTAAGACATCAATAATGTCTAGCTAGGATAGCCTTTCTTTATGTCTTAATTATTGATAGTGCTATCATCATGGCAGGTTATGTTGGAGCAAAAACTGTGCAAGCAAAGACGTAAGAGTGATGGAATTTGGAATGAAATGCAGAGGATTTCATTTTGTGCTGCTCAAGTAAAAGTTTCCTCTTCTGTTATATTTGTGCGTTGGATATTGTAGAAAATTAATATAAGTTGTATATTCATGATAATCGCTGCATGTTGAAGAGGCTGCGAGGAAAGGATGATGGTATGGGAACTTGAATGCAGAAATAGTACTTTTACGGTATTCATTCACTATATCGTGTTCACTATTTCTTCCTATGTAGTCATTAATGCTGGAGTAGTTGGATGTTGCACTGGTCTCTTGCTCTTAGTTTTCCAGGTATCCATCATATTATAGAGTTCGATAATTTATAATTAGCTATCATTGACCGTGCTATTAAAATTTAAATGGAACTCCCGATTTTTGTTCTCTCATTTTTGTTGCTCTACTGTGGTTACATTTTTTAAGTGATCAAGCTTTGTGATTGCATATATATTGGTTGGTCTGTTTCTTAAAATTGTGGTTAAAAGAAACCTTTTCGAGATTTGTGAAAATCCATTTTGTCAATCAATCTGATTAGTTAAATGTCTCTTTAGGTATGATTGGGTCCCAAAAGAAGTTAAAAGACTGCAACTTTATTAAGGACGGAATCAGCATCAAATTCTTCTAGCTCTTTCTCCGATTTCTCAAAAGGTGAATTACAACAAAATTGCTCCTCCTTTCTTCAGTGGTTGTTATTATTACCTCAAGATATTTGCATATATGTATTTCTTTTTGCAGGAAACTCAAAGGATGATTAAGAAGAAAAGGAAATCATAGATTGGAAAATAGATGGACAAAGAGGCGATAGAAATTTCTAGGGTCCCAGATCCGTGACATAAAAGGTATAAAATTGTTAATTGATAATTGAACATAAATGCACTGATTATGAATTAGTATGGTTGCTTTTGTGCAATGTATTAAAAGCGTGAGGTGTGGGCGAGGCGTCCGAGTGATAGCCCGGCCTACGGAGGTGTGAGGCGAAGCTTCATGGGACCTAAATTTTTTAATATATACACTGAGCGTACACATATATTATATTAAAAAAGAAGAAGATTATTGATCAATAATCACCCTGAGCACACACATATATTATAAATATACACACACATATATACATATTATATATATATAATAGAGGATGACAACTACAATGAGCACACATATAACAATGCACGCAGACAGCACACACATCTATTATATAAAAAAATAAAAATCAGAAAAGAAGGCTGAGAGACGATAGTTCAAGGAAGAGGTATAAGACAGTTAAAACCTAAAAAAAAACAAGCCCCTGAGGCGCGCCTAGGTGGCTCCGGCGATGCCTTCCGCCCACTTCTTCAAAACAAAGGCGGCAACCCTCATGCCCAGCCTCAGAGGACGCCTAGGCGCGCCCTGAGGCGAGCCTTTTAAAAATTTGCTTTTGTGTCATATTGAATATTGATTTCGTGGTGTACATTTTGTCTGATGGATTATTATTTCCCAATTTGTCCCATGTTCGTCTTCCATAGTACAACTATGAATTTCCACAAAATTTTGTTTGATTCTGCTTCTGTTTATTTCCAAAGAAGGGAAATTATAATAGTAGAATAAATAACCACATTAGAGTTTTGGGTTTTCAAGAGATTAATTTCTATGTTAAGAATTTTGTTTGTTTTGATGCAAGAGTGAACATGGGGAGAGTCGGGGAGACGAAGAGAGAAGAGAGGAAGACTCACTTCATGTTAGTGCCTTTTACTCTATCTTTATACTTTCAACCAAATGAAATTGTTATTAGATTTTGTAAGGTTACATGTTAATTCTCTATGGAACTTGCAATTTTTTCCAATAGGTTTGTTGCAAATAATCTAAGGAAAACTAACGAAAAGTCCAAAAAAACTTATCTTTTAACGAAAAGCTCTTTTTAAAGGTATAGTGAATAGTGCCAGTTAAAGGTAAAAATGTGGTTTTTCGTTAAAAGTAAATAGTACCGGGAGTGTTTTGTTAAAACGCCCTTAATCTATTGTAACCACTCTTTTTGCCATTTTCCAATAAGTCATTCTCTCTGATTTCTATATAATTTTTTTCACATTTGCACAAATTCAGTTGTCTTTCTTATTATACAATGTAGTTCATTAATTTGTCATCTAATAAGTGCAACCGTACGTGCAGCTCTGAATTTTGACAATATAATTATTCTTATAATTTTAATTTTTACATGTGAGTTTAGCTTATTGATTAACGTTGTTTCAGAAGTCATGGTGTGTTAATTTGATGAAGTTGCTTCCTATTGTTTTGGTTATCATATACTGGAATTTGATATGTCAATTGATTCAAAGTTTTCTCTTTTTTTACAAAATAAAGAGAGGGTTTTTTTTTGTGGGGTTGTTGCCCACAAATTCTATTTAGGCCAAATAATAGAGCTAGAAGAATTGCGGTTTGCTTTCGTTTAGTTTCCTTTATTGAGTGCAAACGCGTTGCTAATATACTTGAATTGATTCTAAAGATGGTATATTTTCTGGGTTGTTTTACAAAAGATTTTCCCTTCCTTTTGATTCAGATTTTGATGTCTTTTACTTCTAGCAAGTTAAATTAAGGAATTTAACTTTGCAATACAATCTTTCATACAAGTTTCAATCCCGCAACAACGCGCGGGAATTCAATTGCTAGTTGGTACAAAAATGCATGAAAAAGCTAAGGTACATGACTATTAGTGTACTTAGGTCCACCCCTTCCAACAAACATAAAAAAAACATAATATAACACCCATTTATATTCCCAAAGGGATCATAGCGAGGAATATAAGTTGGGGTGTATATATATAACATAAGGAAGTCTCTCGTGGAAATAACAAACCCATTTCTCCCTTCTCCCCCAGCTTATGTGCAGGAAAATGTACTATATTACTAGTGCATATCCGTGCCTTAAGGCATTTTTGCAGCGACAACTCAACAAGATATTCAGTAGTCCGGCGTTGGACGATGATCTTGACTCCGAAGAAGTACCAATACCTGCTGAACCAGCAGCAGGCAACTCGAGGACAGGGAAGCACAACTTAGAATGGGCAAAGATCGTGTATTGCTTGTCAATAAATGGCTCTCTTACCCATCCAACTTCACTCCAAGCAGCTCCCTCTAAGTTTTTGCTTTCTCGGTCTCGCAATCACACTCTCCTTTTCTTGTATCATGGTTAGTAAATTCATTCAGAACTCCAAATGTCCGCGCGTCATAATTCATCAGTTCCATTATTTCTGTGTCTTCTTCGGAGTGACTGTCTTCATTTCCATCACAATCCCTTTTCTGCTATGGTTCAAGTGTATTGCATCTGTCATCTATGGGGCCTCAGGCCTTGTAATACTATTTTGTCACTACTACTATAATTGATCGGATACATTCGGCAAGAATTAAAATAACACCAAAATTAAAGATAAAAGCGTTCAAGAGAGGAGACATAATCAAATTGTACTGTTTGAATATTATTTATACATCTCTGTTGTAGAATTGAGACAGTTCGTAAACTACACGGACTAATCCAATAAAATTGAAAGGACACGGTCAAATATAAAACCCAAAATATTTTACAAAACTTTATTGATCAAGTCAAAGAGAATATTTAATGTTACATTTGCAAACGATTGATTACACGGTCTTAAAAGGCAACATGAATGGAAGAGAAACTATATTCCAAAAATACTAATTAGGTCATGGATGATGTGAAATTCATGGGATTACAATAAAAGCAATATATAAATTAATTTAAATCATCCGATAAAGAAAAGATAGAGAGCATTTTTGCTTACCACGATAAACTATGGTGTATGCTCACCACTTTATTTATCACCATTATATGAGTTTGAATTTCGATATTTGTGGGACCTGACACGAATCTCGAAATTCAAACTCATCTAATGATGATAAATAAGGTAGTGACTGATGAACATTACCATCACTAAGGGTGATGAGCAAAAAAAAAACTATCGATAAAAATAAGACAAACATTATGACCCCTACTTAGTCCTTAAGACAACGAAGAGAGAAAACAAAGGGGGGGGGGGGGGACTTGTCAATTATCATAGCAAATTGAAGAGGTTTAAAGTCTCTGTCTTCTAGAATATGGATTTGTTGATTTTCATAAGCTATCAGATCGATGGAAAACAAGTCCCTTCATCTTCATGATCATTTGAAACTTCAATTAACGCAGTAAGTTCTTCTTGCAAATATATAGGAAATCCATTATTTATTGATTAATTATTTCATTTTCTTCATCTTAATTGGAGCTACACACACACACACACACACATATGGTTTCAGGTTCAATTTGTGCAGTTTTACAGTCGAGAGCTCAAGCTTCCAGGGAACAACTCCTTAATCTTAATTCAACTTCAACTGAAACCAGATCCTTTGAAGCCAGTGACCTCTTGATCTGACGACTTCCATGTAAGTTCTTACTACATATCCGGTCCTATATCCATGCGAGAGTTTCCAGTTGTGTAACTTGTTGCATCCTAAATTAATATTGTTATTTTTAAAATGTCAAACATATACGATTTTTACATACCCGATTGAGCCCATGTGCAGCCGATAGGACGGTTATAGAATTGTATAAATCTGTATACAATAACTAGTTTCCTCCGACCCTCGCAAAACGGAGAGCCTTGTTGGCTTGGGATGACTCTTTTTTTTAATTAGTTTCATCTGTTTTAATAGTGCAGCTGTGACTACTTCTGAGTCTTGATTGGTATTGTTGGACGGATCAAACTTCCAATGCAAGAAACTATGGGGGGAGAGGCTTTTCTTGTGGCATTCCTTCAAGTGCTGGTTGACAAGTTGGCACAACGCGAGGTCTTCAAGTACTTTGGACTTGTAAAGGGCGTAGATCAAAAACTGAAGAAATGGAGTGCCACCTTGTCTGCAATTGGAGTGGTGCTGAATGCCGCAGAGGAGAGGCAACTGATGGTTGAGAACAACGCACTGAAACTCTGGCTAGATGATCTCAGGGACTTGGCTTTTGATGTGGAAGACTTGTTGGACAAATATGCTACTAAAATGTTGAATCGTCAGACACAACATGCTGATTCCAGCACAACAAGCAAAGTATGGAACTCAATTCCTAATGGTGTTTTCAACTTCAACATGAACTCAGAAATATAGAAGATTAGTGAGCGATAAGGAGTTAGCGGGGAAGAAGTTTTTAATTGTTTAGATGATGTTTGGAAAACGTGTAGCTAAGGTGAATGGATGAAACTGCAGTCCCCTTTTCGTGATGGAGAACAAGGAAGCAAGATAATTGTGACAACACATGATACAGATGTTTCAAAAATGATGGGAGCTGCCACGCTGGTTCACAATTTGGAGCCTATGGAAAGTAATGTTTGTTTGCAAGTATTTGAGCAGCATGCATTCTTAAATTCTAACGAAGACAAACCACCAAATTACGAGTTGCTTAAGGAGAAAATTGTTGCCAAGTGTAGGGGATTGTCTTTGGCCGCAAGGACCCTCGGTGGTGTTCTACTTCATAAAGACACATACGAATGGGAGGACATATTGAACAACAAACTGTGGAGTCTATCAAATGAGCATGGGATACTTCCAGTACTGAGATTAACCTACTTTTATCTTCCTTCACATTTGAAAAATGCTTTGCCTATTGCTCAATACTTCCAAATGACTATGAATTTGAAGAGAAGCAAATGATCATTCTATGGATGGCCGAGGGGTTTATACTTCCACTGTTGAGCAAAAATTGTACACAATATGCAAACAAATAATTTTACTCGACACAATTTCACCCTCGTTCATTTTTTGAAGAGGGTTTTATTAATTCGAGTTCGACCCATCCTAGGCTACGCGCCTATTAATTACAACATTTCTTTTGGGAAAGGAATACCCTTTGATTCTAATATGAATAAATCGTAACTTGGGGATTTGGGTGTTTATTTGATTTTGTGACTGCGTCTAGGTAGAGCCCTAGATTGCCTACGTACCCTCGTTGAAGGATCAAGTCACTCGTAGTTCCTTATGTGTTTTGTTGGGTTTTGATGCCTTGTGCAGTTTCAGCTCGTGCAGGCAAGGAGCAACTGATGCCTTGTGTAGTTTTAGCTCATGCAGGCGAGGACGTTGAGCCATTGCAGCTTTTAATGCCTCATGCAGTTTAAACTTGTGTAGGCAAGGACTTTAAGCCATTGGAGTGTTTGTAAATTTGATATGGTTTTATGCCATTCTGAAATTTGATACGGCTTTGTGCCAGTTAACATAGCTTCATGCCACTTGAGATTCTGTTGCGGCTTCATGCCATTTGATATTTGACTTTTTCTTCGGCTTCGTGCCATACATTTGGAATTTGATACAGCTTTGGGCCATTGTGTTTTGTCGCAGCTTCGTGCCATCAGAATTTAATACGGCTTCGTGCCATTGAATCGACTTTTAGCCATTTGAGGCAGCTTTGCCCCATTTAAAGTGGTTTTGTGCCACTTAAGCGTAGAGTAAAATTAACGGATTTATTTCTGATAAACCCACTAATATTTTGGCATTTGACTCTAGCTTGGTACCATTTCTTACTCCATGTTTAATTTAACTTTTCCTTTGCAGCTTCTTTCTTCTGACAAATTTGTAGAGAATCATGCTTGGAATAAAAAAAAATATTTCCTCTGTTCTTTCACAGGATTTATCCCACAAGGGTTCTGTTCAAAGCAGCATAAGTGAATTTAGTTTATATAAACCAGAGATTCGTCTTAATTTCTTGGTTGCGTCTAAAATTTAATATCATATTACCTACGTATCCTTAACGGAATCAAACCGGCGTAGTTCGTAAATTTTGAGACTCATCACGGCTTTGTGCTTTGAGATGGTTTGCGTCCAAGACATGTGAAGTAATGTGCGTCCCTGAGGTTGATGCCATCACCATTGTCTCAACACTTTTTGTTTTAAACCAATTTGAAACCGATTTGCCTCAGTCACATCGTTGGTCTTCTTGTCCTCTACTACTGGGCAATTCCAACTCATAGGGTTTAAATTTTGCCAAACCCAAATGAACTTATATAGGAAGCCGTGGCTCTCCTATTTAGTTTGGTAATCAAGCCTTTTTTATTTCTTGGGAATTGAACTTTCTAAATCCAGGTAGGACTCCACAAAGGATAAAGCCACCCCTTTTTTTTATTTTTCTTCTCTTTGCCACAACTTTCCTTTGGTGGGGTTCAAATTCTTTGGCAAATTTTTGTTCTGTAGCAAACTTGTCCCTTTTTCTATAGAACCACCTGCATGGCTTCCCAAATTGTTTTGCTCTTCATCACGTGAAAGGATCAGGAAGCTTTGATTTCCCCCCAGCACACTTGCCCATATTTTTGTCTTGTTTCTTTGTAGAGCCAATAGCCTCCTTATTGTAAGTGTACCTTTGTTGGGACTTTTCTAATCGTAGGAAAACATCATTTTCTTTTGACTTTTCCACCTAGAAGCTTGCTGCAACACTTTACATGATGAATAAAACTATCTTCTTTTTCCTGGAACATTTTTCGAAGGTTGAAAAGGCAACAACATTTCCTTCTTTTGTAATGCCTTGCCCAATAAATTTTGAGAAAGGTTAGGATCCCATGGCCTTCCCCTTTTGTCTTTCACGAGAATGTCTTCTCAAAGGAAGTCGATAGCAAGCCTTATTCTCCCTTTTTTTTTTTTTTTGTGAATTAAACTTTCCAAGTTCGAATGGAACTTTGCTACCCTTTCCTCTCATTGTCAGCAACCTTTTTTTTTCTTCTTCACTCGACAGCTGTGACGGGTTTCTTTGTTGTTTTTTTGGCTGGAAGCATCCTTCTCTTTTTTTTTTGGTGTGACTTCTTTTCCAAATAGGATCCTGTGGCTGACTTCAAGGCTCTGCAACTCTAGGGGCTTGATCACAATGGTGCTGCTACCATCGTCAGCCTTGATGCCATATTTTTCTTGGCACGTTTGAGCAGCTTAGAAAAGTTGTAGTGCTTCAGAGGTGTTGGTGCGGCGGTGGCGGATCACTTAGATTTGATTGGAACTTCACAGGGTGGTTTAGACTACCCCGAAGAAATTCATGGGAATAACTGCAGTGGCACGTCCTTAACTTTGAAGCAGCATCCATTTCGACTTCGGCAGCTACTTCGGTTTCTTTTTCCTGGCAACTTAGACAGCAGCTCGCACCATTTTTGGTACTCTATGTGGGCAGCACGTCTTTTCCTTCTAAGGCATTTTTTTTTTTACTTCAAGACAACGACGGCGGTAAGCGTTTTTTATTCCTTGAAAGTTCTTATGGCTCTCTTTCTCAGCTGGAACGTTGTGCATAACACCATCAATTCTAGAATGCGCGGGAGGCGGGCTTGTCTTTGAAGATGTGACCACGGCTGTTTGTTTTTGACACAGGCTTTGCGGGTTGTTGATGACAGCCAAGACACAGCGACGGTGGTGTTAGAGCCATTGCAGCGTCCTGAATTTGATTGGAACTTCACGGGGTGGTTTAGACCACCCCGAAAAAATTCATGGGATTAACTACAACGGCACGGACTACTCCTTTTTTTTCTAGGCATAGACGAACTTGATGGGTAGAGAGGTCACGACATGGCTGCAACATCCTTTTGGGCTTTCGTTTGACGTCCATGACGGTGCTACAAGTGTCTTCACTGATGGAGAAAGGAAGGTGGCAGAGGCCTACGGCTTTATTCTCTAGTTCGAAATCGCCGTGATGGATGCCATGACTTGGGAGAGGAGAGCGAAGCCAACTGCTTCATTTTCTTTTCCTGAAGAACTGAGAGAAACCAAACAAAGAAATCTAGAAAGATAGATATGTACCTTTAAATGTTTTGGTTCTTTCCTTTGCCGTGTCTCCTTTTTCCTTCTTTTTTTCGCTTTGCTCTCCTCCTTCGTTCTTCTTTTCTGGGGAGATCTCTCAATTTCTCTCCTAATTTCTGCAGGGTCTCCTTCCTTTGATTCTTCCTCCCCTTTGCTTTGGTTTGATGCATTTTTATAGGCGAGAAGGTGGACATGGCAGTTGAAGCTAGTGGGATACTATTTTCCTGGGGTGTGGAGGTGCTGAGAGAAAGCCATCACTTGAGTGGAGAACGTGGGGGTTTTTTTAGAGTTCTAGACACACATGATCTCTGTACTTGGTTGCCACGTAGATGACAAAACTTCATCAGACTTGTCATAGTCCACGTACGTGCGGGTGTAGAATATATTTTGCTATTTTATTTTATTTTTAATTTTTCTCCTAAGTCTCACTGTTTTTAATAAGACTTGCTAATATATTTTATTTGTGAAAAAATATAGCTCAACATCCACGACCAGAAGATAAGAAGCAAAATGAAGATTTAGGTGTTAATTATTTTCAGGATCTCGTATCAAGGTCATTATTTCAAAAATCAACCAAAAGTATTTCAAAATATGTGATGCATGACGTCATTGGTGATTTAGCACGGTGAGCAGCATGAGAAATTTGTTTTAGATTGGAGTATAAGCAAAATGATGATGGTGAACAACTTAGATGTTTTCCGAAGGCATGTCATTCATTTTACATCAAGGGTTTGTCTGATGGGGTTAAAAGATTTGAGGTATTTTCTGAAGTGAAATGTTTGCGAACCTTCTTGCCACTAAGAAAGGATTCTTTCTGGAATTATTTAAGTCGTCAGGTTGCTTTTGATTTATTGCCGAAATTGCAATATTTGCGGGTGCTCTCTTTCAATTGCTATAGAATAACTGAGCTTCCAAACTCAATCGGTGATTTAAGGTATCTACGGTATCTCGACCTTTCCTAAACAGATATAACCAATTTACCTAAATCAACAAGCACTCTTTACAACTTGCAGACGTTGATATTGGAAGGTTGTTCTAAATTGAAGGCATTGCCTGCAGACATGAGTAATCTAGTTAATTTGCGTCATCTCAACAACTCAAATGTATCTTTGTTGGAAGACATGCTTCCTGATGAGTCCATATTTTACCATATATTTTACCCTAATCTTAGTTATAATGTATTGGTTATTTTGGTAGAATTTTGATACTTTGTTATATATTTCTAATGTAGGACATTCGACTTCCTATGGAGCAAAACATGATCAAATGGACGAATTTTGGAGTGATTCAAATTGGAGGACGTTTGTGTGTCTCTTGCCGTCTTTGTGTCAAAGTTTCAGATTTTTCTACCAAGCCGTTTAACCATGGCGATGAAATAAAGACCCAGCGTGCAACTTTCTCGAATTGACGTTTCTGGATGTTTTGGATATTTTGAAGGTCAATGTGGCATATTTTGAGAAAGATTCCTTCTGAGGATTTGTAGGGGGCGTCTTCAGCTTTCAAAAGAGACCTTTTAGGACCAAATCGGAGTTGATTTGGTTGGTCAAAAGACTAATTTTCTGAGAACTCCGAATTCTAGTTCAAATAGGAAACCTTTTATTTTATGTTTTATCATTTAATTATGTTTCCTAGTTTTATTCTAAGACCTTTTAGGGTTTTATTTTGTAATAGTATAAATAAGGTTGTTTAGCTATTAGGGTAAAAAACGCAACATTGGGGGAGAAAACGCACGCACACTTTAGAGAGTTTTTGGATTCAAGTTTATTTTCAAGGTGTTTTCTATCCTTATTTTTAATAATATTTCGTTGTATGATTGTTAGTAACTAATTTTCGTTTGCTAGGGTGAAGCCTTGAG